AGGGTTCCTTTGTGGTACTTCAGAAAAGAAGAACTTCAAGAGATTAAAATTTCGGTCTCCAAGGAGCAGCGACAGAACAAAGGCCACCAAGATCGGAAGCCTGTCGGGAAGCTACGCCCGGTAGTGGCATGAGGAGTCTTGCGAGTACCTCAACAACCATGTCGAGGGTTCCCTAAGCCCTCAACCCTAAAAGCCGGCTGCTGGCACTCACCCCTCGGCATTTTCCGTGCTTGAGTGGGGTCTCGCTCAAAGTCTGCCTCCAACCAACCCCATCAAGTTTGAGATGTTCTCTTCCGCGGGGAAGTTCTTGTCGGAAGCCACGGCATGAAACAACCTATCTGCAGTTTCAAAGTGGTCCGAGTGAACAGCGCAAACAAAGGCCAACGCGGTGGGGCTGACGCTGCCAGCTAGGCCCGTGTCGCCCAGCGTCTGCAGCAGTAGACTCATGATTTCCATGTCGCCCGTGTGGGATGCGCTCGCCAGAATTGTCAAGCGTGCGTGGTCGGCGAGGTTGTCGCTGGCCCCTGCCTCCAGAAGCATCTGAACCATCCCGCGGTTGCCACGTCTGGCGGAGTTCATGAGAGATACTGCTGTCCCGTTGGCAAGCTGAGCCCACCTCCCAGTAGCTCGCTGAGCCTGCTGCAGCAGGCGCGCTATACGAATCTGGCCATTGTCGACCGCACAAGTCAAGGCCAAGCCGCAATCGCACCCCCAGCCCCTGTCAGCCAGAAAATCTAACAGCACCCGCACGGTCCTCTCATAACCCCAACATGTGGCACAGAAAAGGGCAGTGGGAACGAGCTTGCACAGCAGCTCCTCGTCAGCCTGGGCTTCTAATAAGAGGTGTACAGTCTGCACATTTCCCTGATTCGAAGCCGCTATGAGCGCGGTCCCAAACTCTCCTACATTTCCAACGAAGTCACGGCCCGGATCCGCTGCCAGCAGCAACCGGACAACTTCAACATGGCCACGGCAGGCAGCGCAGACTAGAGCAGTGATGTCGATGGGGTTCGCCAGATTCTTCTCGGCCCCAGACTCTACAAGTAAAGTAACTATCTCCATATGCCCCTTGGAAGATGCCCAGAGAAGTGAAGTCAGGCCACACTCGTCAGGCAAATCTTGGAGAGCCCCGGAGTTCAGCAAGTAACGAACAGCCTCCAAGTGGTGAAATTCAGTGGCGATGCACAGGGGAGGGCCTCCGTTGTGAGGCAAGTTCTTGTCAGCGCCGGCATCCACCAGAGCGCGAATTGATTCGAGATGTCCAACTTCACAAGCGCAGCCTAGCGCTGTCTCCCCTGGGGTTCCAAACACTGTGCACAGGTGATCCGTGTCTGCCCCTGCTTCGAGCAGCAAGTGAATGATATCCGCGGAGCGTCCACTGCAAGCAACGTTAAGAGATGGACCTCGCAATCCATCCACATCTTCGTAGAAGTTCGGATTAGCTTCGGCTTCCAACAATAGGGAGACCACCTCTCTGTGGCCTTCCAATGTTGCCAAGACCAGAGGTGCTTCCAACTCTACGGCATCGACGACCCCAAGGCGATTTGGATCCTGTGGGCGCTGGAGCATCCTCTCGACGTCAGCCTGGCGGCCAGCGCGAGCTGCCTGGCTTTAGGGTTTAGGGTTTAGGGTTTAGGGTTTTGAGTTTAGGCTTTAGGGTTTAGGGTGAGCTGCCTGAGCCAACTCATCCATCTGCTCTTGGGTGGACTCGGCAAAAGGCAGCAGGACAAGGTTGAAGTCCATCGGGTGGTCGATCCGAAAGCCCTCAGGCAATTCTGAGCCGGCATGCAGGAGTCGCTGCCTGAAACGGCTCGTTCCACAAACCGGGCAAAGGCGCATCTTCAAGCTCTTCACATCAGGCACCTCGTCCACGTCGAAAGTCAATTCGGCGCCAGAGGACAACCACACGTGCAACATGGCTCTCACTTCCCCAGTTAGGACCTCTATAGAAAGACCACACAACTAGCACCTGAGGCTGCGGATAAATGGCTTGGCGAAGTATTTTACTAGCATTTCTGTCTGCAGCAGTCTTACTTCTGTTGCCTTCGTGGCTCTTTCTACGACATGAAACTTTCTGTGCTAGATTTGCCTTTGTTGTTCACGCTGCTATTGCCGCTGCTGCTGCATTCACGTATGCCTGTTGCATTTATGCGACAGATAAGTATCGAACGAGGTACCGATAGAGGTAGGAGACCATTGAGTTCGGAGTTTATTGAGTGCTCTATGCTTACATTACATGTGTCTCTGTGTGTGTGTGAATGTAGTATGTATATATACATATTATATATATATATATATATATATATGTATATGTATATGTATATGTGCAAAGGTAATAAGACACTCACGCTCCATTAGCTACTTGATACCGCGAGATCCCTCTGTGCCTGGAATGAAGCTGATCTGCTTGGCCGGGAGCATTTCCGGAAGCACTGAACGCCTCGCAAACCAGGCTTTAGTGATGTCTGCTGCAGCGGAGCGATACGGTGCATAATGTAGGGGCCTTAATGATTAGAATAGGGTTTTGGGGGTCGCTTATTTTAATTCTAGTACAATATACCACAGGGTTTTGGGGGTTCCTTTTTTTTTTATTATAGTACAATATACCCCAAACCCTATTCTGACTATTAGGCCCCTATATTCCCTAAAGACGAGCACGAGAAAACCCGGTGAGCTGAGATGTGGCCAGAGCCGTGGTCTCCACTTTTGGGCGATGCTTGACGCTTGATGAAGATGTCGGCGAGTGTGCAAGAATCTAATTTAGAGGAAACTACAGGTGGGGAGTTTAGGGTATATAGGGCTTCTATAAGGCTTCCATAAGCTATATAGACCCTTCTATAAGGCTCCTATAACGGTAACTACCCACCTGGAAATGTCCTAGACGAAGAGTGCGCGAGACTGCCGGACCTTCTGCATGCTCACACTCAGACCCGATCTGCAGCAGGATGAAACTTACGGAGCAAACTTGGGGATGACCCTAACCCCCACTAAACACCTCAGCAAACAAACTTGGTAACCCTGACCCCAAAACCTAAACCTTAAACCCTAAACCCTGAACCCTGAACCCTGATAAACAAACTTGGGGATAGCTCGAACAAAATGCCAAGAGCCTCGGCCCGGGCCCCAACACCCCAAACTCCTACAGTCCGGAAGCCCATTTTCACCCTAAGCCCTAAGCCCTTAAACCCGAAACTCCGAAACCCGAAACCCGAAACTCCTAAAAACCCTAAACTCCTATAAACCCTAAACCCATAAACCCCTAAACCCTAAACTCCTAAAGCCTTTTCGAGCCCTTCTTTCCCTCCTGGAAGAGGAAGCTGAAGACCAGTGGCCCCAGTGACTCTGCGATGCTCTTTCCGGTTGTGAGGGCACCTTAGGGTTTTAGGGTTTAGGGCTTAGGGTTCAGGGTTTCGGGTTCAGGTTTTAGGGTTTAGGGTTTAGGGTTTAGGTTTTAGGGCTTGGGTCTTAGCGTTTTGGGTTTAGGGGAAGCGTTCAGGGCTTTCGGGTTTGGGGTTTAGCAAGGTTTAGGCTTCTAAGGTTTCAAGGCTTCTTCGGGTCCAGAGTCTTAGGTTGTGGGAAGTATAGAGTTTCTGGCTTCGGGCTTACTGTGGGGGTTCAGGGCTCAGGGAGTTTTGGGCTTGAGGGTTTTAGGTTCATGAAAGCTTCGGGGTGAGGGTCTTGGGGGGTTTTTGGAGTTGAGGGTTTTGGGGAGTCCCAGGCCAGCAGTGCACACACAGGAGAATGATACAGTGAAAGAGAGGTGTAGAGCAAATATCGTCATTATGCCGTCATCGTCTGCTTCTTTGTCGTCGTCTTTTCCAGCCCTCCTTCAAAACCCTAAACCCTAAACCCGAGTCTAGAGGCTTTGGTCTTCGGGCCCGAGGTGTCTGAGGCTATACCAAGCACAGCCGGGTCGCCTTGTAGCTGCCCTTGCCTCGGTTGGCACTCCAGGGAGGTGTTTCTAAAAACAGGGCCCCGTTTTAGGTCCCAAACATAGTACGGCACCTTTATAAAAAGGACCCTTAAGGGTACCCAAATTTAGAGAACTACCCACAAAAAATGCTATCAGGGCTCTCTGAGGCCAAAAAATACTATAAGGGTACGATGGATGGAGGTGCTGTGACGGTACCATGAAGGTACTGTAAGGGTACTGTCGGGGAACTGCGAGGGCACTCTAAAAGCATCACAAGGTTTAAAGCCTCTGACGTTGATGACAAAGTCCCTGAATCTTCTCGTCTGCAGCTATCGGCAACTTGTGTGTGCTGGCTGGTTGGTGAACCCAAACCAGGAACCCTAAACCCTGAAGCCTGAACAGACCCTGAACCCTGAACAGGAGACCCTGAACCCAAAACTCCAAACCCTAAACCCTGAAACCCCAAATACCCTGAACCCTAGACCCCGAACCGTAGACGCAGAAACTCCAAACCCTAAACCCAGAAACCCCAAAAACCCTAAACCCTAGACCCTGAACCGTAGACCCTGGACCCAGAAACTCCAAACCCTAAACCCAGAAACCCCCAAAAAACCACAAACCCCTCTCCAATCTCTGCTCTCTGAGTCCACTCAGCCAGGCAGCTCGCTCTCCGCCACCAGCCGGCTCTTTATGGCCGAGGTGGCAGGAAACGCCAAAGCCTGGGGTCCCAACAGTACCTGAGGCGTCTTTCTTCTTAAGGAACTTAGGGGTATCAAGTAGAATCTTCTTAAGGAAGTTGGGGGGTATCTGTAATAGATTCTTCTTCAGGAGCTTAGGGGTATCTGTAGTAGATTCTTCTTAAGGAAGCTAGGGGTACCTGTAGCAGGTTGTTATTAAGGAAGTTATGGGTCTCTGTAGTAGATAACACGGTGTCCTTATTATGGTAACTTAGTTTATCACCCCTGAACTAAGCAGTATACCTTAAATCATACTGAGAATCCTGTTTTAGGTTTAAGGTGAATTAAAGGATCTTGGAAGATCTGGGAAGCCAGCAGCAAGGTGTGAGCTGGGTATTTCCAGCAGGGTTTAGGGTTTGGGGCTTAGGAAGCTTAGGTTTAGGACGTTTAGGGTTTAGGAAGTTCAGGTCTAGGAAGTTTAGGGTTTGGGGTTTAGAGGTCAGGAGGGTAGGTTAGGGTCCTCGGCACCCCTGGGCCTTCGCATCAAGCGATTCGGCTGTATTCCGGTCGCAGCATTCCAAAAACCTGCAACGCTACATAACAAACGAAAGACCGCCACTTCTGGATAGTAAAGGGGTCTGAATAATGAGAAACATTGTCCCCTTATGCTCCCCATTATTGTGGCGTCTCTATGTTGCTGAATTTAGCGACCTTCCTGTGTGCAGCTGAGCTACCGCATTCAAGAGATAAACATGCCATGCCTCCGTGACGAAGGCAAAGCAGAGCATGTACAGAGCACCCGCAAAGAGAGCCAAGCCTGAAGGTTGGGTTTAGGGTTTAGGGTTTAGGGTTTAGGGTTTAGGGTGTAGGGTTTAGGGGATTTGTTGTGCTGGGGCTTTAGAGTTGCCGGATTGCGGGGCTTAGGGTTTATATAGTTTAATGTAGCATGTAGAATATAACATGTAGCATACTAGAATGGACCATACCTTACATAACTTATATATATATATAAGTACATACCCATTACACAAATGCAATATGTGATGCGTCAATAATATCTTAAAAGCTTAGGGCTTCAGGGTTTTGTTCTAGCTTCGGCCGAAAGCTTAAATTCCTGAACCTCCCGCCTAGCGTGCCCACATCTCCGGCGATCCGCGTGGTGAAAGAGAGGCCTGGTGTCGATTTCAACAGTCCCCAAAATCATGTATAATTAAGGCTTAAACAATATGGGAAATCAACAATGATCCCAAACCGATACCTAGAGGCCCACTCCGGCCCAAGCTACGCTGGATGCCATAGCAATGGCTATGGCGAAGTTGTTGCAGGATTTCGGCCAGTGCACATATGTCCTCAGCTGCGGCGCCGTGCCTTTCAACGAGCTTCTCGCCAGTATCCCGTATGTTTGCGAAGCAGCTGTCGCTGCAAAATGCTTCCCCAACAGTTGATCTTCGTCCTGTAGAAACCCTCTGTGTCAGGCAAGCATCTGCAGAAAGCTTGTGCTGACCCGCTGGAAACCGTTGCCAATGAAAGTGCTGCCGATGACCTGGCATTCTTCGCTCCATGATTGTGCAGTGAGCCATCTCTCTGGAAAGAAACTGCTACAAGATGTTACACTGATAAAGGTCTTCATTCTCACCATCACCATTATCACCATCGTCGTCAACATAAAAAACCAGAATAACTGCTACGATGACGAGGATGGTAGTTCACATCGAAACATTAGAAAAAGTCTGTCTTAGCATTTACATTAATATTAGTAACTCGAATGGTCTGAATAGTAGCATGAGTCATAGTAGTAGTAGTAGTAGTAGTAGTAGTAGTAGTAGTAATGTGAATAAGAATAATACTACTAACTAAAAACCAACAATCACAGTGGTAGTATTCATTTTAGTCTTGAGTATTGTCTTGATAATAATATACGCATTGTTAGTAGTAGTGACATTAAGATCAATATCCGTATCAATTTTAATATCTGTATTGGCATTCATGTTGGTATTACTATGAATCTTCGTGCGAGTATTCATAATAATATATAATTAGTATAAGTATCAGTGCGACTATTAGCATTAGTACTAGTATTCGTGTTCGCATCAATAAAGAAAGCACTAGCATTCGCACTTACATTATGTGAATACTAAAACTATGATTAATATTCATATAGTAATAATGTTAGCATGAGTAGTAGTAGTAGTAGTAGTAGTAGTAGTAGTAGAAGTAGTAGTAGTCGTCGTCGTCGCCGGCGTCGTCGTCGTCGTGGTAGTCGTAGTCGTAGTCGTAGTCGTACTGGTAGTGGTAGCAGTAGTAGTAGTAGTAGTAGTAGTAGTAGTAGTAGCAGTAGTAGTAGTAGTAGTAGAAGTATAGTAGTCGTCGTCGTCGCCGGCGTCGTCGTCGTCGTCGTGGCAGTCGTAGTCGTAGTCGTAGGTCGTACTGGTAGTGGTAGCAGTAGTAGTAGTAGTAGTAGTAGTAGTAGTAGTAGTAGGCGCTCCGCCCCACCCTGCCAACCACATCTCCTAAACACTGCTTAAGAGCACGAGCATTATCCTCGGTAATTACAGTACTTTCGTGATGTCGCAGTCCAATACCAACCTCCGCTGTTGAGGGGTGGAGGCGGTTAGGGGGGGGGTGGGGGAGGCATGATGACGTACTTCTTAAGAGCACTGCCATTTTACTCGGCATTTACAATAAGTTCGTGATGTAGTGGTCTACACACCACCGATGATGATGGGTTTAGGCGCCAGGTGGTTGGTAGAGGGGGTGGTCGCGGCTAGCAGTGGTAGTAAGAGTAGTAGTAGTAGTAGTAGTAGTAGCAGCAGTAGTAATAGTAGTACCTAGTAGTAGCTACGTGGGTCGTAGTGGGTAGTAGTGGGTGGTGGTAGTAGTAGTAGTAGTAGTAGTAGTAGCAGTAGTAGT